CTACCGAATACAGTCGGTGTGCGCACGCTCCGAAGTACAGTAAGAGACCTCTTCCGTATTCGATCTATAATTTTGCCAAAATGTTCTAACCTTTCGAAACAGGGATGGACATTTGAACTTAGATCCTATGAAGTGATTGAGCACACATCTTTGCGTTACCTCTTTTTACCTCGTTCACCTCTTAAAAAAATTCTTAATAATTATAATGACAATAACACTATTTTCCATACTTTGACTCAGAAATAATTGCTCAACATGAATAAAAGCAATAATCAGCTCTTCATATTTTAACGACAATCAACTGAGTTTGCAACGAGTGAGAGTGAAAATATAAAAACACAAAAAGTTCCCAATTGCGCTCATCACCGGCACGTGCAGCTTGGTGCCTTTGTGGCGAGCAGCAGGAAAATTGTGTGCTTGAGTGCAGCAACATTTTCTTTATGCGGCACGTGCTGATTAAGAACATCTACACACAGCCTCTACTAATAGGGATGACGTGATTTTGACAGCTCGGCCATGTTTGTTTACGGATTTGTGTCAAATTGTATCAGTGTGTTCAATAAGGTTTGCCATGTCACGTTTCAATTTGGTACAACCCTTGGAACTTGTCCAAAACTATTAAGCAAATTCACGTTCTCCGTTGGCTATGATGCTACCGTGTTTTATCAAAAAATCAACTTCTCACATGAGGCTCATTTTCCCCCAAAAATTAAAAAAAAAATCATCGGGTCTTTATTTGAAAAAGAGAAATTACCACTACCATCAATATCGAGCGTTAAAACAGGATATTGATATACTTCTTCAAATCTTATAGATTTTTTGAATTGGAAAAAAAATCCGCACTGACTTTGAATGCTCAGCGACATCTTTTAAAATGAAACTAAAAACCCTGCCTTTTAGGATTATTTTTTTCTCTGTCTAGATAAAGACTCACTTTAAGAATCTTATTTTAGCTCACCCTAATGTGCATACGAGTTTCTGTGTCAGCTCATAGTTTCATTGCTTTATATCTTTTGACCGTCCATCAGCAGCTGCACAGTGACAAAATTGATTGGTCAGCAATTTCATTTTCATGGGCAAGGCAGCGTAGTTTCATTAGCAAAACGCCTTTGTCAAACCAGTTTTTTTCACTGTTAAAATATGTCTATTTAACGTAATGATTAATAATGAATACGGAAAAGGCCAGCAGTTATTCAATGCGCTGACGTTGTTGCTGCTTTTGACTGACGTTGAATGGGAAATTGCTGCCGGCTCCATTCATCCCACGTGTTGCAAATGAAAGCGGAAAATAGTTTGCAATTTTTGAGGAACAAATAAATAAATTACAGTAGTACAATGCAAGCACAATGCATTTGTCCCTACATCATAACAACTTTTCGTGACTCGTTTCTGTCATTCGCGTACTGCAGTAAGCTGCTTCGCATAAATTTAATTCACACAAAATTAGTTATTCACCAGGGTATATCATTTTGGAAAGCAAAAAATAAAACGCAGTTTGATGAAACCCGTTGGAAAATAAAGCAAAAATAACAAACGGTTTATGTATGTCGATTTCTGGCTAAACTACGATTCCTATAGAGAAAAGTTATATAGCAAAGTTGTAGGTAATGAAAAGATTTACAATTTTTTAAACGTTGATCCATTTCGAGGTGACATGCTTGTTGTTTGCTCTAAGGCCTGAATCAAAGCGGGAGTATTCACGTAGACTTTAGGCTTTACATGTCCCCACAGGAAAAAGTCTAACGGTGTGATATCAGACGGTCTTGGTGGTCAATCGACCGACCCAATACGTAAAATGATCTGCTATGGTCCACCAGCCCACAAACATCTCCAAACCGTGGTTTTTTCTGGATCGTAAATCTCTTCAGGTTGCTCTTTGTCCTAAATTTTTAAAATCTCTTCATTCCGATAATATAAAAAATATATGCATTACTACAGCAAATTTTCCCAGAAAATGCGAAAAACCCCAAAAAACGATTAAAAGTTGCTCTTTTTATTTCATCCAACTGTTATTTCATAGTAGTAGCTGTTTGGGCTTTAGTGCTTCCTCTTAACATAAGTACTTTGAAAGCAATGGCTTGCTTTAGCAGTGATCTCTCCGTAATTTACGTTGAGCTTGTTAATAATCTCTAATTGATTGTGTGTACTGATATCATTTATGAATTCGAGTATCTGTGCGCAGATATGCTTTCGCTTAAGTAATCGGTGGCGCTTAACAATAACAAGCTATTAATGAATTAGTAAATATTATATACATAAAGTATATATATATTGCCATATTATCAACTTGTGTGTACTTTGCCAGTGAATTATTGTTGGCTATTCATAATTGCTAAAGCAAGTAAGCAACTTGAAATGCATCACATTTGCGATCAGGAATACAATCGCTGTGGCAATTCGACAATGTACTTATATGTATATGTGCATTTATGCATATCTGTGAAAATTTTCGCATTCCTTTGCAGTTAGTAAACATTAAATATTTTTTATGATTACTGAAAACACATAAATAAAGCTAGAAATGTAGTAAGCACGTTACGAAATAGTGAAAATTCAAAGCATTTGGTGATATCTTTCATACCAGTTAAAAAAAGTACCCGGAAATTATAAATAAACGCAAAATGTTCAATTATTCATCAATATTTATTGCTTCGCTTTCAAAGTATGTAATATATTTATGCCAGCGATTTTTCTAATTCTTGAAACACTTTTCTAAGTACTTTTTGGGATGATCTTCAACGCTTTCAGCGAATTTTCTTTTATCTCTTCGATCGACTGATGATCGACAGTATGGGGAACAAAAAAAATATTCGGAACCAAATCTGATGAATACGGTGGTTGATCGATGGCATTCGTTGCATTTTTTGGCTTTAAATTCGGTAACAATCGCACTCTTTTCGAGAAAAATTCAACTTTATCGGGATGATTCGAGCAAGAACACGTTTCTTATTAAAAATATCAATCAGCTCTCTTTGCATCTCTCTAACACTTCCCTGGTAAATTTCAACCACCATATCTCTCACTTTTTTCATATTTATATCAGTTGAAGATGTCGGAGGTCATCCGGACCGAAGCATGTCTTCAACGATCTCTCGACTGTCTTTGAAGGCTCATGACCAGGTTAGAAATACAAAATTTGAGACAAACTCTTTATTCGATATTTTTATTGAATATTATATTTGGCGAAGTAATTAAGGACAGTCTCTACCTATGCATGAATCAGATACGCTCAAGTTTTGAGAAATTACTGATTTGTCGGGGTCGTCGATATCTGGCCACTATAGCAAATATAAAGCCTAACAAACTGACCCATCCAAACCAAAATAATATATAAGTTCTTCTCATATCCTTTTACTAATTGTATAGTAACATAATTTATGGTTTACCTTAGCTAACTTAAAACTCATTTCTTCCATTTCATTTCTTCCCCCTCAGCGTGATTCTGAAAAAAAAACTTTAAATATGAAATGTCATGGGATTCATGGTTTCGAAACAACCATGTTTTTTCTTGTATTATTTAAATTTATAACATCTCTAGAATATTGCCCTAAATACACAAGTTGATCCGGGTAATAGTTGTGGATATACAACTAGAAAATTTGAGCGCTAGGGGTCAGTTATATAGTCACTTAAAACTTTCAACACGTTTTTCTCGATTTCTTGCAAACTACCCAACCGATAGCCGTAAAATTTCTTTCTGTCTTTATATATGGTTTACAAAATCTTGAAGGAACGATGTTTTTTCAATAAAAACGTAAAAAAAGAAAACTTCGAGAAATTAAATTTTCACCAAAAATAGATTTTCTTTTTTTGTAAAAACGTTTGTCAAAACATTTTTTCTATCGACTCCATATTTATAGCTGTCTCTTATACACATCTAGATGTGTATAAGAGACAGCGTAAAAAAAGAAAACTTCGAGAAATTAAATTTTCACCAAAAATAGATTTTCTTTTTTTGTAAAAACGTTTGTCAAAACATTTTTTCTATCGACTCCATATTTATAGTTTTAATTAAAACGCGTTTTTAAATTTTTTTTTTTTATTTTTTATTATGATATAATATAAATAAGATAATCTGCTGTCAGTACGGAGGCACTTTTTTCACTTTCACAAAATCTTTATAAAATAAGTATCTTTGAAATAATAAAAAGTTTGATTCGAAAATAAAAAAAAATTCTGAAAATAAGAACATAAAATATTTTCTCGAAACCATTAACCACTTTCAGTTACAGTACAATATTGGATTACCAAATATAAAAAGTTGAAAAAAATATGTATGTATATACATAAGTTTTCTATATTTAAATATATGTAGTCTTAAAATACTTGATCCATCAACATGCTTAGCCATTGTGCTTTTACACCTGAGCTGCTCTTATTACAAATCCATAACTGTCAGAGACAGTAGAAAAATACTCAAACAAGTGTACAAAAATAAATAGAAATCGCACTTTGTATGTTTTTACAAGTGTTTAACAAATGCATAAGCACTCACGTTGCATCCGGAATATGGCACTTGACTGTTCTGTGACCCCTTGGCATCAATACAAATCCAACGAAAGCACTGACATACACTCATTTCAATTTGAAGTCATCGCACGTGCGTCAAAAGCATAAAATAGCGCAGCTAACATGATTTCCATATACATACATATGTATACTTGTATTTGTACATAAATACATATGTACAAACATGTATACAATACATGAAAGCTGCACAACAAAATAGAAGAAGATGAAAAGAAAAACATATTGCAGATACTTTTAGAAACACTATTTTAGTTTTTATTTGGACAGTTGCAATGTTTGAAAAACTGGCATTTGTTGATATTCGTTAAAGAAATTTTTGGTTTCTCATGTCGAAAAGTTTTCAAATGAATATACATGCATATGACAATACAAATACACTAAGTTTCCGCTATCTCTATATGATTACCAAATCGATAAATTAACTGTATCGTGTAAATTTGTATTTCTATATTTTAATTATTAATTTCAAGGTTTATCTCTTTGGGGCTGCGGTCTGACTGGTATGTTTGGACCAGAAGTGCCACGGTTTTTGGACACTTTCCTGTTTGCTGCGCTTATTTCTGCTGTTGATCCTGTAGCTGTTTTGGCAGTTTTCGAAGAGATCCACGTTAACGAGGTGCTGTATATAGTGGTGTTTGGCGAGTCGTTGTTGAACGATGCTGTGACAGTAAGTAGTTGAATACTTTGAATTGCTTAATATAGAAACTTATTATCAATATATTATTATATTTTTGATTACATATTAGATTTATGTAAATTAAGGTGGTATTCTAGTGTATAGCGTTTAGCTGCAAGGCCTGAATCTTTAGACCTTACTTATCCCAACAGGAAAAATTCTAATCGTGCGATATCACACGATTTTGATGGTCAATGGACCGACCCCAAACATGAAATTATTTGCTCACCGAAGTGTTCTCTCAATAAATCCATTGATTGGTGCGATATGTGGGAAGTGGAGTCGTCTAGTTGAAATCAAATTTCGCTTTGATTTCAGGCATCAAATAGTAGGTTGTCATGGCGCGATAATGATTACCATTGACCGGCATAAGTTTTGAAGAAATATGAACCGATGATTCCACCACTATTGTACTCTTTCAACTCTCAGCTACGGCTGATATATTGTCCTCACTGCGTGCTCGACGTGGTCTGTTCGGTTAAATATTATGCAATAATGAATTCTGGTTCTCAAGATGGGTGATGGCGCTGCGAATAGTACGCTCAGTAAGCTGATTATGTTGACCATTAGTTGAGCGAAATGCACGAAACACATTCCTTACAGATCGTGAATATTCGTAATAAAGTTAAACAATTTGTTAAAGTGCTCAGGCGTAAATCTCTCTGCGATGAAATGCCTAGCAATACTGAACAAAAATATCATAATAGGCAACATGACACGACTCACACGTGTTCTGCCAAAAAGAAAATATTGAAAAAAGTACCTCTACTTAGATCACCCGTTACTATAACTTAACGACCCCAAAATTTCAATAACTTTGGAAATAATTTGTAATTTTTAAAATTACTTTTAGAAAATATTTGAATATTATTGAATATCTAAAGTATCGCATTACGAAAGGAATTCTTTTTTTTTTCAAATTTTTACACTGAATAATCTAACCTCTAATTAATGTCGTTTGGATTCATCTACAATACATATAATTTTAAAATTATTTAAATTTTAGGTCGTAATGTATCATATGATGGAAGTATACAACGAAATCGGCATATCAAATATAATAGCTCAAGATATTGCTAGTGGTGTAGGTTCATTCTTTGTTGTTGCCATTGGCGGAACTGTTATTGGTAAGTAATATATTTAATTGTATGCAAATAGTACAGTTCCCTATTTGACACCAGCTTTATATTAACTCTGCTCTCTTCCAGGCATCATTTGGGGCTTCCTTACTGGTTTGGTGACACGTTTCACCGATCACGTGCGCGTGATCGAACCAATATTTATCTTCGTAATGGCATACTTGGCATACCTCAATGCGGAAATATTCCACATGAGCGGTATTCTGGCGTAAGTAAAAACCGTTTGGATTACATACCGTTCACATTGCACACAAATAAAATTGTAAAATTTAATTGTCCTTCAGTATAACCTTCTGTGGCATCACAATGAAAAACTATGTTGAAGCGAATATTTCACAAAAATCACATACAACAATAAAATACGCACTCAAAATGTTATCCAGTTCATCTGAAACAATCATATTCATGTTCCTTGGTGTAGCAACAGTCAACAATAATCACGTGTGGAATACTGCCTTTGTGCTGTTGACTATCACATTTTGTTCGGTGTATCGTGTGTTCGGTAAGAATTTTCATTCTCCTTTAATCTAATGTTTAAATGTATACCTGGATATATGTGTAATGTAAGTGTGTATATTATATATGACATTTCTGTTCTCAACACAGGCGTTGTGATATTATCTGCATTAGCGAATCGTTTCCGATTGCACAAATTGTCACGTGTCGATCAGTTTGTTATGTCCTATGGCGGCTTGCGTGGTGCGGTCGCTTTTGCATTAGTGCTGCTGGTTGATGAACGGATTGTCAAGCAGAAGGATATGTATGTGACAACCACAATAGCGGTGATTTATTTTACCGTTTTCCTGCAAGGCATAACGATAAAGCCGCTAGTAAAGATGTTGAATGTGAAGCGAGCAAGCAAGCGGAAGCCAACAATGAATGAGCGCATACACGAACGAGTAAGTTTCACAGGCATAATAAATAGAAATATAGATTTGCGTAACTAAAGTAATAAATTAGGCAGTTGGTTCAATTGTACTGCTGCAGCAGAGTCATTGCCAAAAGTTGGGGTCTCTCATCGAAAATACTCTTCTGGCTTTACGATACCATAGCCCAACCATTTATGTTCTATAGGGTCTTTGTGTAGTGGAGAGACCTAGAAAAGACCCCACTTGCAAGGGAGGTGGAGAGTTTTCAACGACCTATGCTCTTTAGTATGTGTGATGCTCTAAGGTCCACTCCAATCATATTGCCCATAGATATCGCCGGAAGGTGTATAACCACGAACGTTGCTAACAGACTCAGATAATCTTGGTTTCCAAATGAAGACATGTTTGGACATTCGAAAATCCTCCTATGCTTTGAGTTTATAGCGGATCTTTTGGATCATCGAATAGCTTACCTTTAGGCTTTTTTTTCTGCTCACATACCTGCGAGAGAGTTGTGGGTGAAGGAAAGAGACCCTGAGCTTCTTTACGTATGAATCAAAGCTTAAGGGGAAAGTTGGTGGAGGGATTTATTGTCAGGAACTCCCCACGAGCCTTAAGCTTACTGAGTTCAGGGCAGGTTAAGGAATTCCCAACCTCGTTATCAATAACAACGAGTCTCTTTGTGATAAGACTAATAATGAGTGTCGAGCCACAGCGAAATTTCAGGCATCTAGCAAGAAAGAGTACCTCAGTTCCACTATCAGTAATATATATATATTAAAAGCAAGAGATCAAGAGAGCTCTTTTCACTCTATAAGGTTAGCTCTCCGTAGATGTGGGGATTTTATCAGGGCGTCCATGCTGTAAAGTTGAGAACCGACTGCCATCTGCAGTAGCTGCTTGGAAGGAGATGAGGTAGAAACATCTCAGCACTTCCTTCTTGATTATCCTAACTGTGTGGAAGTAACACTCAAACACTTAGGAGCTTACACTTTCAAATATCCCACCAAATTGGTGAGAATATAAATTAAACTCCTGAGCAATTTTTAGCGACTATAGGGCATTTTGATGACATATAAGTTCGAATTACAGGAGTTTTTTTATGGCTTCAATGGATTGGAGTCTAGTGCGATCTTTGGATCAGCCATCAAACCTAATCTAATCTAAACTAAATGAATAAAAATGCAATATTGAACCAAAAATAATAAAAAAGAATAGATATTGAAATGTAACACTAATATTTTTTTTAACCCGAACAGTTCATGGACCACTTAATGGCCGGAATTGAAGATATAATCGGAAAGACTGGCAATTATAATGTGCGTGATAAATTCAAGCGTTTCGATAACCGCTTTATCCGGCCGCTGGTAATCAGAGACTTAAAGGTAAATAACACGTTTGTTATTGGATTATTTACTAATTAACAATTTGTTATTGTTTATATAGGGTGCTGAACCTAAAATCATTGAAACGTATTCGAAACTCACGATGCGTGATGCTATGGAGGTGATGCGTCGTAATCCATCAACCATCGGACAAATAACGGCCACCGAATCGATGAGTGCACTGTTCCGAAATTACACCAGCAATTGCATTGGTGGAAGGTGGGCACCGCCAACTATTTACACAACATGGTAAACGAATTTTGGAACAATTCAAAGAAAAGAAAAAAATAAACAAATATGTGCATGTGTAACTATCGTGATAAAAAAATGTGAAAATTTACAACTTGTAAGATGGATTTAATTTTAATTTCAATTTAAATTGCTTTCAGTTTTTACTTGGATTCTAAAATTCTTCTTCCCGTAGTAATTTGACACTTTCATTTTAATTATATTTGGTTGTAGTGACATTACTGTTAGCTAGCATGTGTCTCTGGTACTATAGAAATTATCTTGTTTTGTTAATTTATAAATAAATTTTTTATTTCTTTTGTACTAAAGATAATATAATTAAATTACAGTAGCGTGCGTAAATTTAATGTTGAGTTAACACAGCTCCTTTGATATATATACTACCTATTTTATAATATTTATTTTTTATTTGTTTATTTAAAATCACAAAATTTACAAGAAAACAAAGAAAGGCTTATTATGCTCTCAAAATTTCTCGAATGTACATAAATCTTCACCTTTTCATTATTTACAACCAAAATAGTGGTCCTATTCCCTTTTACCCTTCGGAAAGTTTAAACAAAAGCTTATTTACAGAGAAAATTTCCGCTATGTTGTTAACATTGTTTTTGAATAATCGCCCTTAAAAATGTCAGTTAATTAGCAGTAGTTAATTCAAGTAATTTTCAACTAATGTAAAGAACTGTAGTCATGAAAAAATTGTTCTTTTGTTAATCTGTCGTTAAACTAAACAAAATATAATAATAACAACAAATTTAAAAAAATATAAAAAATAATAATCAAAAATATACATATGTATATAAAAAAATAATAAAAAATATATTAAAAAATATACAAAAATTAAATAAATCCTCAAACACAAAAATATGTTTATGCATAAATTTCCACAAAATATGCACTGTAACTAAAATTCGTTTACTTTATTATGTTTTTGAATAAATATTGTATGAACCAACCTTTAACTTTACGTAGAACACTTAAGATATACCTTCACCTCACACATTGCATATTCGTTGTCTACATTATTTAACTATATATAAAAAATTCATCTCATTAAAGCTATGGGTTTTCAAAAGGCATGGTTTAGGCACAAGTGAAATATGCAGCTTTACTAAATTTAATTTTTAGAAATTTTGAACAAAGGTAACACTTAACTGTTAAGCTTTGAAAAGTTAAGCCATTGAAAATTATTTAAAAAAAAAAAGTAATTTTAAAG